AGCGAAGAGTAAACCTGTCTAAGCCACGACTCGCCAGTTTCTCCATTAGAATGCCGTGGGAGACGCTGTCAAAGGCTTTACTGAAGTCCAGGTAGACAACATCCACAGCCTTTCCCTCATCCACTAGGCGGGTCACCTGGTCATAGAAGGAGATCAGGTTGGTCAAGCAGGACCTGCCTTTCATGAACCCATGCTGGCTGGGTTACATAAATCCTCAAGGAGAAAGCAGGAAACTGTTTGCCATATGGGATTTGGAGGAGGCTTACTACTCTCAGGTCATGGAAGTTTTTAAGCCTTGAACATGCCCATAAACATGTACAGTTCAGCAGAAGTGGGAAACTTTCCTTCCCAGATACTTAAGGAGTAGTTGCCTGACATTTATATTGGCCTTTTTTTGGCAGTCTCACCTCAGATTACTGTGGAACCATTTGTAAAGATTGTTTATTCATATTGGCTTAACCTATTTTAAAAGCTGGTCAATGGTGTTACATATTTTCCCATCTGTTTGTCTAAACTCAACTTTTTTACTTGGCAGTTTCTTCAGAATCCTGAATTTTATGACAAATCCTGCTCAACCACTAGCTGATGTTCATTGTCCTGCCTCAGCTCAATGGGGAGAGGAGGCAAATGAGAATTCCTTGGACAACAGCATTTTCATTTTGGCCCAGGCACTAAATACAAGGCCCAACATAAGCCAAATACAGGCTCACAAAGCTAGGTATGAAAGGGATTTATTTCTAAACCTACTCCACAGCAAAAAAACCCGAACCCAAACCAAAACTGAATGCCTAACACAAACTACAGCTGAATTCAGCAACTCCTTCCCAGCCATCTCCTTCGTATTAGGCTATTTGCAGCAGAAGCTTCACCTAAAAGCTTATACAGACTAGAGAGGCACAAGAGGCTTGTCAGAAGTGCTGTCCTCCATCTATGAAGACTGTGGGAGTGGGCACCACTGATGTAACCTGGCCATTTCCCCTCTTCCTCCTCCTCCCACTCCTTCATACAAAAAGAAATACACATCTTGGCTAGAAGCTCCTAACCCCATAATGGCAGGGAAAGTTCCATCAGGTTTTGTGTCATCTAAGGTTATTCCAATTGGAGACTCTTCATCCTCAATGATGAAGGATCCGCAATAACCTAAGGGAGGAAAAGAAAACAAAATGATTGTCAGAGAAATTTGTTGAAGATCATTGTTTCTGATAGTAATGAGCAAGGAAAATTATCCATAAAAGGAATTGTACAGTAATTCCTTCATGACCAATAATACCTACATGTCTGAAGTGTTTTTGCAACAGTCTCTCTCCTCTCTTCCCTCTGACTCTGGGAAATTTTGTGAATTTATAAAACCCATATTTAAATTCCATTATTACTTAGCAAGGAATTTCTGTGGATTGTTGCAAGTCCCTTTGGCTTTCTACATTTGGGGGAATAAAAATTAAAAATAAACAGATCTATCAAGAACTATGATGGTTCATTCCATGAGTAACTTTGGCCAAAACAACAGCAGCAGCAACAAAACCCAGTGTAATGCCATCTGGTCACTGCAGGCTCAAATTTACACCCTGTATTGATTTTGATGATGATAAGACTGTCAGGAATGTTGCCCTGTAACAGTAATGCATCAGAAACATGGGCTGTATAATCTAGTATCACATCAGTATGTGTCAGAGGAACATGCAAAAAATCCCATATAGATAACAATGTATAAACCTACCTACATTTTGTTCTAATCCCAATGGCCGGTTTATGCTCTGAAACATGCAAAATTATATTCTTTTGATTAAGAAATATTCTTGCCCACTGCAACTCTTGGTATCATCACATAGGAAGTGGAAACTAATCTGTTCATACAAATAGTTCTGGAAATGGTATCAGTTAAACCTGAGAAACACATGATGTTGCAGCACATGGAAAAAAAAATCTTGAGTTAAACAAAAAGCTAACCTACTTTTTCCTGTCCTCTGAGAGACCAAGTCTGTAGAACAGAGGATTAAAAGCAGGGAAAGGTCTTACTTAGACCTTAAGCTCTCCTTGTCATCTACTGTAAATTCTCTTTGGCTGTCCTATCTCTGCTTGCAGGGAGAAGCAGGGACCTGCTGCTGCAGTGTCACTGCTTGTGTGCATTGCAGGTTTCAGCAATGCTTCCCAGGGAAACATTGCTTACTCCCTCAGTCGTCCCTCCTCATCTAGCAATAATGAGATTTGGGATCCTATTTGGGTCCGGGCTCATCTTTGGGACAAAGCGTGCACTCAAGCTTGGAGGAAGAGCTCTCCTTTCTAAGGAGCTTTACTTTTCACTTTTCTGTGTGTTTGGTTTGGGGGGTTTTCACATTTACCACCCCCCCCTTGGATTTATTTATTGATTGACAGCATAGCTTCAAAATTTGCATTGCATGGGGCACCCAAGTCCTTCACTTTCCCCACATACCCTTCCTCTCCCAGAAGGCTTCCCTGTAGTACACCATGCATTTTATGACACATCCCATAGGCAAATGCTGAATTAACTGGTTTCTCTTTGGGGGCAGTTCAGGCTTGTAATGAATCTTCGTTGTCAGGATCGGAGGGATAGCACTGATCACATACTTGCCCTGAAACATGAAACACAGTCAGTACAGACAAGGTGCTGCCTCTCACTGAGCTTGCCCTGCAGGACACATTTGAAAGATGCTCTTTCTTATTAGTTGTTTACAGCTTTCCCACACCTGATATTGCTGCTTGGCTTTCCCACACAGATATTTCTAGGTAATCAAAATAATTCTGCCATTCAGAAAAAGGAGCTGGGAAAAACGTGTTGTTTTGTGATTAGATGATTCTTGACAGCTTTCCAGACACTACAGGACCAGAGTTGAAACTTGGCTGGAGACAGGTGGGGAAATGGGACAAGCTAGATCTTAGGGCACGGGTAAAAAGTCCTTTTATCATCCCCAGGAAAATATGACCTCCATTTGTCCAAATTATAAGCTGTTAAAAAAAATAAATCACTTTTGTGCATGTTCACAGGATACTACTTCAGGACAAGCAACACTGATGGTGATTTCAGCTTTCCTGAACACGTCCCATCCCTCTCACAGGTCTGGTGTCTGACCACAGCTATGAAGGATGCTCTGCTTTGGGGCTCAGGGTGACACTATATCACAACAGACACTGCTGCTCTCAGTCACTCTCACGCTGCTGGGGCTGCTGACTGTAGGAAGCCTGTCTCCTCCGACTTGGCTGCTGCTCAGCCACCATTGAGGAATAAGCTTGTGGTTGAACTCCAGGGTTTAAAAACCCCTGAGGAAGGGAGAGAGTCCCTCCTCCAGGACACCTTTGGACAGGCTTCTCTGCCAAACAGCCCCTTCCCTTTCTCCTAGCTTTCTCTAAATACCCTCCAAACACTAACACTGGTGAGATGGGGGTCTTGCAGATTGTGATGGTTCTGCACAAACCCCCGTGGCAGGCTGGGCTCTGCATGTAGAAGAGAGCTGCTGCCCTGTGGGTGCCATCTGCAGGTAATCAAGTACTGATAGAGCATTTCACAGCACCACTGCACAGAGGCAAAATTTTACTAAAAGCATTTGAAAAGCCTTTTTTTTTGTTCTGCAAACCACAAACTTAGATACAAACAGGAATATTATTTTTCTTTTCTTTGAAATAGTCTCAATGAAGAACTAAAATGTAAAAATATATAGTCACAGAAAAAGTTAAGGCAGAAAAGGCAGAGTAATGACAGAAACTAACTAGCAGAACATCAAGAAGAGACCCAGTTATAAATAAATCCAAAAAGCAGGTTTCACGGAGTATCAGGGTGGTCTGAGAAATAGACACACACAAATGGGTACTTCCTGATTATATCTGGCTAAGAGCTGCAGCAGATGTATTCCTCCACTAAATGAACACTCTACTTTTATTCTGATCAAATTACCTCATATATCTCATGGTTTAGAGTCTCCACAATGACATTATCACCTGTCTGATCAATAAGGACCACAGGTTGCTCCAGTTTAACTCTTCCTTTGAGGCGTTCCATTATTTTCTCTGATATCTGCCCAGAACCTCCTTTAAACTTCCTCTCCTAAAAAAACAAACAGAAAAGAAACACAAACGAAAAATCACCAGCATTAATCACAATGACACTGAATATGACTTCTGCTCATAACCAAGAAACTCCAGGCCAAATCTGCAAGTCCTAAGGGTGCATAAAGAGGCCCAGGCTTTCAGAAGAATGAAGGCATAAACCTGAGCCTCAGTGGGGATTGCTGCCTAAACCATTTTTCACAATGGCTTCCACAATTAGCTGGATTAAAGACTCTTGAAGCCTGGAGAATAAGCAAATAGAATGCATGTATTTTAGCTAGTATAAACATACCACTTCATTAAAAAGAGGTTTTGTGTATTTTACCGATCACTGTGCTACCAAAACCCTCATGTGTGACAAAACCACCAACTTGCATCTGTACAGCAAAAGCCTGCACCAGCCCAGAAGCAAAACAGATCTTTAACTGTTCTGGCCTCAAGTGCAGCAGGCAATGAGCTTTATCTGTTCCTGGGAAGACACAAAGACATTGCTGTCTGGAAAAAAGCACAATCTGTGACACATCCTTGCGATGTCTGTGCAGAGGCTCAGAGGAAGCACTAACCCTCCTTTATCTACCAGCCACCAGCGTTATAGCAAGCAGCTCACTTTTACATATAAGATGCTGGTACTAGCAGGGAGGAAAGGAGCCACAAAGTTTTGTGCTGAAAGACTGCAACGGCTGCCTAAAGAAGTTTTAGAAGACTCGTCATGGGCGAGTCAGAAACCCTTAGTGTTTTTGCTCAACTGATTTTGATTGGGGTGAGGGGAGAGGGAACAATGGTAGAAACCAAAGACAACTTGCCCCATCCAGGCACAAAGAAAAGGAAGTGCTCTTCCCAGGCTAGCTTTCCCCTCTCCAAGTGTCTTGTTTAGCTATGAGTATCTTGGGATTAATTTTATTTTTGATTCTTGCTGCAACATCTAGCAATTGCTGACGTGGGACAGCAAGTAAGGCTGAGGAGCTCCTGAGGAGGAAGGCTTCTGGGTCTTGCTCCTACCTCAGGGCAGCATTAGCTCTACTTACATCCTTTCTGACACATGGTTGTCTATTCTTACCCCAATGGACAGATGTTGATGGAGACTTCGCATCTCTCCAAGCAACTTCTCTTAATGTTTCCCTATCCTGGCACACTTGGAAGGGTGTGGTATTGTCTCCATTTTTACTGTTGATAGCTTAAGTCTGAAATGCTGTGTGTGCTTTCTGAGGCTGCATTAACTGACATAATAGCCTAGTAAAGGGTGCTGACATAGCACATCCAAATTATTTTGACAGCCCCCTCTCCCCTTTTCTGAAACTTCATCCAGAGCAAACACATGAAAACCATGATGTTCTGCAGGCAACCAGGCACCTGCAACAACCAAGGTGAGAAACAGTCTGAAGTAGCTCATAAAATATGCTACCATGTGAGCTGTCCCAAGAAGGAAGGGCCTTTTGCTATCTACTTCCAACTCTTGTCATTAGAGCCTTCAATGCCAAAAAAAGTATTTCACACTGAAGTACAATTGCTTTGAGCTCTTGAAAACATTCAAATGTGCTAAGTAACCCATAGAAAACAAACTGGCAAAAAAGCAATAAAAGAGCAACAAAAGGACTGTGCTGAAGCGAATGCACAGGAAAAAACAATCGATTAAATTGTCCCAATTTATCCCAAAGCCTAGCTAATAAAATTTGTCATTGTACAGAGTTAGCTGAGAGAGCTGTTCCACCTCATGAGAGCATAATTGTCTCCGGTGTCACATGAACTTGGTGTTTCATACTCTTTTCATTAATTGCAGGGCTTTGACGGCTACAACACTCCACTTGCTCTTTATGGTTTCAAGAGAGGAGGAAGAATATGAGACATTTTGTACCTGGCCCCCATTGGTGATGGAGAAAATCCTGGCTGTGCCCCCACACTGCCTCACGTACCACAGGAACCAGAGCGCAGAGACTTCATGAGGCTCAGATGTGACATTGACATTCACAAACAAGGTGGCAAATTCTTTAGCAGCTCTGCATAAGACACAAGGGCAGAAACAGGCAGTGAGTAGATGTGACTTCCTGACTGCTTTCAGGATTTTCTTTGGTATTCTCGATAAGGGTTGCTTTCCCAAAGTCAGAAAAGCCAAGATGATTTATATCTCTTTTTTAGTCTGTAGCGAAACTGTTTCAGTAGGTTTATATCAGCACCTCCCTCCCAAAGCACTTACCCTTTTAGTTAGAAATCCCACTGATTTCACCTTAGTTATTTCTTCAAACAGTTTCCCAGCTGCTGTTCCTTTCATCAGAACAAATATTCTTCTCACCAGGAGAATGCATTTGGTAACCAGCTAGTGAAATTCTTCTGCATTCTCCTCCATGGGGAGCTCATCAGGCACATCGTTTCCAAGGTCTGATGGGTCCCGAGGGACTCAACTAGCCATGCAGCCAAGACATTCCCCATCTCCCATGTAACACTGCTGCACAGACCTTTTGTGAAACCAAGAACCAGACATGGTAGGTAACCCAGAGAAACCAAATTGGCAGTCATTGCTAGAGAGGGTCAGCTGTCTACCATAATAAGTACTGTGAATGTAAACAGAATTACAGCAACAGGAGATGAGGACCTGTCTATTCACATTTCTTTCATTTGGGGCTACAGATTGCTAAGAGAATGGAGATCATTTTGCAAAGAAGGTGAAAGGTCTTTGACTTGGATGAAGTTTCATAAAACAACATAAATTTATAATCATCTGCTAAGGGAAGGAACTTTGCAAGTTATCTGGGCTAAAATATGTAACTTATAAACTTTTATAACCTCGTTTCCCCGGGTATGATGAAGCCCAGACACCTCTATTTCATTAGCCAGGATATGAAAACATCCTGCATGCAAGAACCCTCTGCAACAATCCTGAAACCACTAAGACACTAAACAGTTGCAGCAGGTCAGGCTTGAGAAATGTGAAGAGTCTCTCCAGGATCAGTAGATGCTGATCTGTGACACATGACAAACAAATCTTCTTTTATAATCTTGACCCAAGTCATACAGAAAATGCTGCAGAAGAGCTTTTCTGTTTAGGGCACTATGGTTTTTAACTATGTGTAGAAAAACACATGGCTTGAAGATCTAAAATGACTTTTTACTGAATTTTTGAATGTGCTTCAGCTAAACACATCCATTAAAACTGGAGTGCCACAAAACCCTTGGCAGTAGAAGCAGTCTTGCAGAGAAGCGTGTTACAGGAGAGATCACTATAAACCCAGTTCTGCTTATACTCCATTGGCTCCCTGACTAAGGGGAACACTAAAAACTAGAAAAGGAAGAGCCAGTGCACTTGCAACAGAAAAAGTAGTTCAAAAGTGACTGAGTTTGCAGGCAAATGGCTCTTAAAAGTAATTGTAAAGAAAACTACAATGCCACAGAGAGCAAAAGAAAGTCCAAATGGCTGTACCTTGTATCACATGGAGCTGGAGCAAGATTTAAGCTGGTCAGATCATTTCAAATGGAAAATTTTGATCAGGAAGCTGCAGGCACAGTGCTTAACCACAGTCAGAGTGAAAGGGCCAACAGAGCACAGCCACACAAATAAAAGACACTGAATGCAAGGGAGGAGAGCATTACAGAATAGCACAGGGACCAGCACAGCAAGGGGGGATACAAGTGCTCGTATCAGAACACTTCTCTTTGCCTTATAAAGAGAATTAATTGAAAAAAGAGAAGGAAGAAGAGAGTATTTCCAGTTGTCATCACCCCATATTGAATATTGTGCCTTTTTTATTCGCACAGTGTCATCCCTCATAGACATATCACAGAATCACAGAATCACAGAATCACAGAAACACTAGGTTGGAAAGGACCTTCAAGATCATCAAGTCCAACCATTAATCCAGCGCCACCATGTCCCCTAGACCATGTCCTGAAGCGCCACATCCACACGTTTTTTGAACACTTCCAGAGATGGCGACTCCACCACCTCCCTGGGCAGCCTGTTCCAATGCCTGACCACCCTCTCAGTGAAGAAATTTTTCCTAATATCCAATCTAAACCTCCCCTGGCGCAACTTGAAGCCATTTCCTCTTGTCCTATCGCTAGTTACTTGGGAGAAGAGGCCAACACCCTCGTCGCCACAACCCCCTTTCAGGTAGTTGTATAGAGCGATAAGGTCTCCTCTCAGCCTCCTCTTCTCCAGACTAAACAACCCCAGGTCCCTCAGCCGCTCCTCATAAGACTTGTGCTCCAGACCCCTCACCAGCTTCGTTGCCCTTCTCTGGACACGCTCCAGCACCTCAACATCCTTCTTGTAGTGAGGGGCCAAAAAACACACTGGCCATTTTCTAGGCAATATATCACCTCGGGCCCTCATCCTACCAGCTAGGGTTGATACTCTAGGACCTGCTACTCACAAACAAGGAAGATCTGTCGGATGCTGCAAAGATGATGGGCAGCCTTGATTGCAATGGCCATGAGACTGTGGAATTTAAGATCCTGAGAGGAGTAAGACAGCAGAACTGCAACCCTTGATTTTTGCGGATTTTATCCTCCCTGAAGGACCTGCTTGGCAGCATCTCATGGGAAACTGCCCTGCAGGGCAGAGAGGCCCAGGATATCTGGCTGGCATTCAAAGACAGCTTCCCAGGAGCAGAGGGAGAGTGCATTGCAATGGGCAATGGGAAAACTGAGCAAGTGCAGCAACAGGCTTGCTGAGACAAACATGGAGGACCCAACCGGGCTCAGGCACTAACCAGCCAGGGAGGTGAAAGGTAACAAGAAAGTTGCCTCAGCTTCCTTGTTTCCCTCCAAGGGTTTTGGAGGCCTAGCAGGCACTACTACTGAAACAAGAAGCAGCACTTGAACATCTCCAGAGTTTCCAGAGCCAACAGCAGCTCACTCCCCGCTCCTCGGGTCTCGCACTGCCCCATCCATTGAGCAACCACTGGAAAACAGCTGCCCTCTGGCACAGCGTGCTGCTCTCTGATGTGCCAGCGGCATCCGCCTGCTCCGCGCTACACACGATGCAGCTCACGCAGTAAAAGGAGACACATATGATAACTGCACAGGAGAGGTCATAGCTGAGTCAGAGGACATCACTCCTCAGCTCCTAGCCTACCACAGGGCTGAGGAAGCCCCCTCACCTCCTTCTGCCTTCATTTCTGTTAAGTGACCTTTATTCATACCTACAAAGCAGAGTTTTGTCTACATGTTGCTTTTCCTAAAGACAAAGGCACATGTTCTCCAAATGAGTCAAGTGAAAGTATGGTTAGAAGAGTCCATGCTGTCACTCTTGTGTGCGTGGGCCTGCTGAGGCAAACCCCAGGTTTCCCCAGCACCTTTAATCCCATCTGCCAGCCAACACAAGCTCTGAATACCACTTTATCCTCCACAGGCCCTCACCCACCACCTGACAACAGCCCAAAGACCAGCCTCATCTCAAACACCTCCTGCTCTCTCATCACCTATACTCCAGCTGTATGTAGCTGTACCCCAGAATTTTGCAGGGAGCCTATCATTCTGCAGCTGCATTTCAAAGTGAATAAAGAATTATATACTTGGTCCAGCAAATCTTATTTATCAGCTCTTTCATGGTCATTTTGTCCCATTCTTCAGCATGTGGAGCATCCCATGGTGCTTCAAGAGGAATCTGGAGACAGAGGCAAAATATTCAAGAAATTATTCAGTACTATATCATTGCCTGGTCATAGCTAGTTAGTAGCACAGAGTTGATTGATATGTTGGCCAGGAGTTGCTTTTTGTCCCCTGCACGTGGCTGTAAATTTGGAATAAATTCACTAAATGGCATAGTTTCCATTCACACCTTTGGGCATGAATTGTACCATGACCACCAAATCTGGCTTTGTCTGACCAATGAGCTATATCCATATGTCGGGACTCATCTGGCCTTTAGTCGTCCAAAGGTAAGGTGTCGATTCTAACTGAGTCATCTTGGTGTCCTCTAACACCTGAGGGAAAAACTCTTTCTCCAGTCAGAGATTCATTCAGTTACAAGAAGGTATCTCAAGGCCCCCATGTCTTTCTGTTAACTACAGAGGGAGCAAAAATGTCTAGATACTATTAAATTATTTTTAGACAGTTTAATTCTTTATAATAATAATCCATTGCATGTAAGTACCATAACATGTGAGGAAACTATCGTACATTTGAATCTTTTAAAAAGATATATTATTTGACAAAAAAATGTGTAGTATCATGCACAAATTGGATTCTTCAAAACCACATAAACCCGATGCACTTTGTAGGAATACCATTAGTTATGCCTGAAGGTTATTTTAAGGTAGGGCCACTGGTTTGCAGCCAAATTATAAGGCAACTGTTAAATATTTGAAAGACAGCATGAAGCTCCAGGGGCTACTTTTTGCACACAGGAAGATCTGCAGTTGTACTGCTTGGATTTTGAAGGCGTGTACTGTTTAAGAATTTTAGAAATAAAATTACTATGAAGCCAAACTGGAGCCCATCTTAGGCAGCTACAAAAAAGAATCACCCTTACTCAAAAAGGCTCTCACAGGGGAAGGGGAAAAACCCTTCTCATCTCCCAGCTCGTGTAATGGTTTTCCCTGGCATGAGAAAGTACATACACTGAGATTCAACCCCATTTTTTTCAGCTATCTTAGACATCTCCAGATCTTTTTGTATCCTCTCACAGAATCATAGAATGGTTTGGGTTGGAAGGGACCTTTAAAAGTCATCTAGTCCAACCCCCTCTCAGTGAGGAAGCTGTGTTATTCCGATAGTTCCTGGGCAACATAGATATCCTTCCTGATGGATGTTTCTTTTTTTTTTTTTTTTTTTATGTTAAAGAAGCAATAAAAAAGCCTGCCAGAAACAACACAAAACAAAACCAGACTTACTTGTGCTGACATGAGCATTGTAGGAAACAGATGCAATTTACATCGCTTACCTCTTTTCCCAGCTTGTCCATGGTCCTCCACAAGTTATTGTAATCCAGATAAACTAAGGGATTCCATGTTGAAGGGGAAATATTTGTGAAATAGTTTGACTTTCCCTAAAATACACATAAGAACATAAGCAACTGAAACACAATGGAGCATATCTTCATTACTCATGAAAACAAAATTCTGTCACCATCATCACATGGTTGACCTTTTGCCCCAAAAGACCTAGCTTTTTTTTTTTTTTACCCTGCATATGCATGTAAACATGGAATGCATGAAGCTAAGAATGCATGAAGCTAAGTATGAGGGGAAAAAACAGTTAGGATGACATTAAAAAGGTCAATAACACTTTTTTTTTATTCAGAAGGGATGGGGAGGGGTACATTTGTTCTGAGCAGGTTGTCAAATTCTGGGCTAAGGATACTCAAGCAATGGACAAGGAGGTAATAATCCTTGTTCCTAGGCATTCTTCATTATTACATATGAATGAATCGAATGTTCTCCTGCCTGCTGAAATGTGCATCCTAAAAATCGATGGGTCTAAAATTGCATGCATTTTAAACTTTTAAACTATCTAAGCACCTTTATGGTACACCTCACCCATAAAAAGCAAACATACCTCTCTATTCTGCCAAGTACCTTGGGAGAAACCTAGCCCAGCAAGATCAATGGGAAAACACATTTTATCCCCTGAGAATTATGACATGCCAACTGATAACTAACACAGCCTAAAGTTGCAGTACTTGCTGCTCTCTTTTGCATGTAAAAAACCATCACTTCAGTAAGACTGGAGGAAGACCAAGGGCAGGAAAAGCTGGAAAAATAAATTTTTTTAAGTTGTATTTTGTCCAATACAATTACAAAGTCCAGTGCTAAGAGACCTGGAAGAGGCTGAGACTGAATTCAGGAGCCTGAAATAGTTCACAGGCACACTAACTCCTTGTGCAGGGGCCTGGATCTGTAAGAGGTGGGAGCTGATCAGAGAAAAGCCCAATTCTAACAAATTCCAGGGGAGAAATCCCCACTGCCCATCAGAGAAAGCACACCAAACAGCCTTATCCCCATCAGTTTTTCAACCCTTTCTCTTGCACAAGTATCTCCACAGCAGGGAGCAAATCTAGCCCAAATGACTTGGAGCTGGTAAGTTATTCATTTGTTTTTAATGCTAGTTTCCCAACTAGGCAGAGGAGCTCTGGCTGCATGTTTCACAGAGGAGCTCACTGCAAGCAGGCAAGGTCTTGCAATATTCCATTTTTAAACAAGTTTATAGTGTTCTGGGTGTATTATTTTGAGAACTACTGTTGCCTTAACAGAAAGGCAAATAACCTATTGGCTTTGTTCCCATGCTAACACAAGGCTGCTTGACTGACCCACAGGGTTTATCTAACTTCTTTTTTCATTTCCTGATGTGTTGAATGCTTTCCTGCAGACCTCAGATTTGAGTCCTGCTGCCTGCCTGGGTTAGTTACCCCACGCCAATTCAAAGGAAACAATATCCCTAAGCACCCTAGTTCAGTGGTTAGAAAGAAGGCAGCAGAGAGAGGTGTGCTCTGCAAGGTCTGTCTTTTCCCTGCCCAGGGCTATACTGTGGCTTGTAGCCATAACTACAGGAATTAAGCCCAAGCCACCTCACTGTGACACCACCCTGTTTCAAAGAGGAGCAGACAACTTTGCTGGTCTTGAGAAAGGCAAGTCTGGCTCCTGTCCTCTGTGCTGAGATGAGCTACAGGTCAGGAAGCACAGGAGGAGCATTCCTTGTGCCCCAGGGCAGGGATGGCTATCGCCCTTGGGCTGTGCGCACCGCACGCAGGCAGATAGAGCATCGGTTCCCCAGGGTGTGAGCCCTCAGGTGGGCATCCTTCCCTGCTCAGTATCTCCAGAAGGTCTAGCCTTGCAAGCACTGCGATGCCTTGGACTGTCTGCAATTCCCATGTCTGAACTGCAGATTTATGGCAATCTGCACAGACTTAGTGACAGACTTACTTGCTGCATCCTAATCTCTTAAAGTTAGATGAAGGAAAGACTAGATGGCCAATGTGAAGAATTTCATACAAATACTCATCTTTTGTCAAGTGTTACCTTGCTCTGAAAATCAAAAGCAAAGAAATAAGCAAAACCAGTCCTTATTTACTAATATTACATATACCAGAGCTGGGTGCTGCAGCCAGGTATTAGAGGACCGCAGTTGCATGAGAAGGTTAATACCACACCCAGGCCCTAATGCCTTTACCTTTTAGGGTCTTCTACTAAACAGAAGGTGAAAACAGAGCACAGTGTGACCTTCAAGGACCTCTGTAAAAATAAAAAGCTATCTGCCTCTTCTGGGAAGGAAGAACTCCAGCACATCTGCCTATTCTCAGTCCTAAAGCATTCTTGATGAATTACGGGACAGTAGCCACAGAGCAATTTGGCTGGAAAGAAAGTCTGGGGCTCATAAGAAAATCTTGGAAATTTGAAGTTACAGATTTATGACAACAGGATACAAATAAATTCCTGATTGATATCAAAGCAGTCTGCATTATCAAGCTAACTGATGAGAAAGAATGAACAAACAAAAAAAAAAAGATAAACAATAGTTACATATTTGAATTTTTCAAATAAACTGTAACTACAAAGGAAACCTGCCCACACAAAGCAATGTAGTTTTTAAAGTTTGCAATATATGGAATTTTTCCACACACATATGGGAAAAATTCCTTTCAGAGCAAAGAAGCTCATGAAATCCCTCCAGGGATTTCCACTCTCCCTTGGCTGCTTCAGCTGCTAGGATAAACCATTTCCCCACTTTCCCCTAACTAAATCCAAGCAATATCCTGGAAAACTTCAGAAAAAGCCAAATTTAACTGATTACTATGGCAAACAAAAGACTAAAAATCTCTTAATCTGGAGATGCTGGGGATTATATATGGTTGAATGACTGTCACAACAAAATCTAAAGCCATGTTTAGTCATTCCTCAAAACACTCTCCCTCTCACCTCTGACAAAACCACACAGCATTGCAGACTTTGGAGACATGCCCTTGGGAAGAGACTATCCTATCTGGTCCCGGCTACACACTCCCCAACAGCCATCAACTGGCAGAAATAGCAGATATGACACACAGACAAAAGTTTTAGTCATAGTTTTCAAACCTGAAAGGCAGCAGCTGGCCCACTGCTGACAACATATTAGCCCAAGAAGCTGAACACATCTATCTTTCCAATTAATATTTAATTTCTGAGACAATGATCCTTTAATATCAAATCAGCTCTTTGCCAACACATTTTCTATCATCTAGGAAATACCACAGGTGCTTGGGATCCTGGAGCATCTTTAATGAATAAGAGGGATGCACCTATAGCCAGGAGAGCACAATCCCTACCTGGCCAACTCACCATCACAACATGATAACAGTGTGTAAAATGTGCAAGCCCTGAGGTCCCTGAGCACTCACCAATCAGTTAATAGCCAGGACTGCACAGTTTGTTTTCAAGGGGATTCTTGTAGATGTGGGATGTAAGAGAGGGTTCAACAACAGATCCCTAAAACAAAGGGCATGGTGACTGCACAAGGTCTCAAGAAAAAAGTAAGG